TAGCTCAGAGTAAGTCGCCTACTAATCAGAAGGTTGGTGGTTCAATCCTGCCTGCTCCAGTCTCCATGGGCAAGATACTACCCCATGTTGCTCTCTGATGCATTCATTGGAGTGTGAATGCATGTGAATGTTGGATAGAAAAACATGCTTGTGTGAATGAGACAAGTTCTGTCTTGTCTTGAGTGGTCAGAAAGTGATCTAAGAACTACTCCATTTACCACTATCCCCAGCTGCGTGCTCTAGGGGAGTTTACTCTGTTATTGTAGGTCTTCAGCTTACAATATAAAACACCTTGAGGCAACTGTTTTTGTGATGTGGTGCTATGTAAATAAATTAGAATTGAACTGAAGAGTGACTAATGTCACTACACGTTAGTAAGTTTAATGAGGTTCCCTCTGCACTTCTGTGGTCATTTGCTAAAGTCTGAAGTCTATTCTGTTCTACTCTGCTGCATAAGATAAGGAATATATGCGTGAGGAACTCTGGGTTCACACAGGCAAAACTTTCCCTTGTCCTTTAGAACACATTAACAATAGGTAGATGTTTCAGCTCATGCTTTTGTCCCTGGTTTGTGTCCTTCCGCAGAACTCAGTGTGTGCTGCATGCTTTTTCTTCTGCAGAGGAGCCCTTAAAATTAAAAGAGCAACAGAGCAAAACCATCCTTTGTCAGTCAGTACTGCTGTGAACTCATGCAGGACCAAGCAACTGTCTAAGATGCCAAGCTCCCTAGAGCTCAGGAGGCCCATCAGTCTGGCCTGTGGGCTTCTTTCACACTGGTTTTATCCATGGCACAATGATCAGGAGGATTAAAGTGGTAACTGATAGCAAAAAGCCTGCTCACAGCTTTTGAGGATGCTGTCAGAGGCCAAAGGGGAAGACAGAGCTAAGTAGAGCTGGACGAGCTGAGCAGAAGATGATGTCCAGGTATGGCTCTTATTCTTCCTTTAATAGGAAAATGATTATTACACTACGTGTTGTTCTGATGACTGCTGAGTCATTTGTATCAAACGCATTCTTGCCTCGCCTAAGTGCCTTTTAAATTGTGTTAGTATTTTATTCCACAATAAAAAGTGTGGTTTACAGGGAAACAGGGGCTTGAATTTCAACTAAAACTGTGTAAGTATGGTTGTGTGCATCCAGGACGCAGATAAATACAAACTGACTGAGCCATCAGAGGAAGATGCAGGCTTTTATTGAAAGCAGACCTCGTCGGGTAAATGCATTTAAAAAACAGATTTGACTTTTGAATGATTTTATTTCTGTGTTCTAAAAATACATAAATCCAGAATTATTTATGCTACCTTTGAGCTACATATACACTGTACTGAGGCCATAAGCAGTAGTTTGGGCATGTAGTTCAGATCTGCAGTGACAAAGAAACACTTGTGAATTGTATTTTCTTTTTTTGCCAAAGATCATCAGAATTCTACAACTTCCCACTCTAAGTGCAGTTTGCTACATTTAACAGCTCTGTTGTCCTTTCTTTTTTTAGTTGTGATGCATTTACTAATGTTAATATTCACGTCTCAGCTTTGCCTTTGTAAGTCTCATCTTCAGCGTTCAGTAAGGAGGAAGAATGGCCAGAGAGCTTCTGACGATGACTTGATGCTTTAATGGTTTATTTCATATTTGTTTAAAAATGGTTTTTGTCCAAAAATCAAAAAATCCACAATTCTGTGTGATCTGTGACAGATATCAGTGACATCATAATGCCCTGTATGTGCTAGACTGAAACAAAAGCTTTGAGCTTTTCTGCCTCGTGATGATGGAGGTCACAGTTCAGCCAGCTTTTTCATTCCCTACTAGCGATAAGTTAGAGTCAAAGTGTGAGTGATTATTGTAGCTCACCACCACCACCCTCCACCACCTACTTAAAAAAAAAGCGGCTAGGGAGGAATCGGAAGTGTCCTCTAACCTTAGAGCTCCCCTCGCTCCTTTCCCCCCTCCAGGAGGCTTTTGAAAAGGCAGACAAGAAGCTGATGGTCCTGGCTGACCTCTGCTTTGTCTTCTGGCTCATCTGGGCACAAATGCAGTTTCATAAAGCCTGCTGCTCAACCTTAAGAAATCCAAAAGCTGGGACAGATAATTATTGTAGAAATGTTGCTGCTCATCACTGAGATGGACCAGTTTAGCTGTTTTTTTATTTTTGATATCAGAGCTCTGATTCCCATACACTTATCAAAGTCCTTTAGCTGTTGCCTGGCATTAGCTTGTATCTTTTATTTAAAAAATCTGGGGCTGGGATATGTATCAAGGAGTCCTTGTACTCACCAACGGCAGATAAAGAATGAAGGGGAAAAAAATAACACCACAAACTTTCTGCTCTAACACATGGCCACGGCATATTTTACAAGCATTCAATTTCCACCTGTGATCTAATATCACTCCAGGGAAAATTCCAAATAGTACATCATGACTTGGAGTTTGCAGGATTGTTATCCAATATTTTGTACATATACAAAACAGAGAGATATTCCAAATATTCCAGTTCAAATAACACCACCTATTATGAACTCAAAGCAAAAACAACTGATCAGTGTAAGATTGTGAAACGCATATGATTTTTACCTCTTTGCATGTTTATGTGTGAGGTCATCAGGGTGACGTCTTTAACTGATTCATTTCTGTATTCAAAAACATCTGTTTATGTTAACAAGACGCCGAATTTGTTCCAGGCGGCAACGAAAATATGATAACTCATAACTATCTACAGAAAACGGGTTGGTGCATTTTTAAAGGGAGCAGAAATGACATCAAAGGCACAGCCAAAGCCCTGCTACACTGTAACTCAGCCTGTTAACGTGTTTCAAACATGAAAACACAAAGTTAAAGAACAGAAACACAGCGACCTGCAGGTGTGTGTGTCTGTGTGTAAGACTAACCTCGTGTGACCAAAGCTAAAAGCCCAGCATGCTCTCCTCTCCGCCCAGCTAACCGAGGAATTCACTGACTGCTGCGTCACATCCCGCACTGAGTTTGTTTTTATTTCAACCGAAGGCAGAAAATTATTACTTGACTACTCAAGACCACTGCTTCACAAGACCTTTGAAGAAACCAGTACATAATTAAAAAATAATTCCTCACGTGTTGTAAAACTCCCACGGTGCACTTTTTGTTGTGTCAGTCCTGCTAAATATTCGAGCTGCGCGTGACTACAGCGCGTGTGCGTGTGTCCGCGCTCACATTTCTCGCTTTCATGATTTTCTTCTTCTATTGAAACTTTTCCTCATTGGATCACTTTCTCACTTCCACCTTATTTGCTCCTTTATTTTATTCAGCTACAATTTGTCTTTCATTCTGAACCAACTTTCGCACACTAGAAAATTCCTGTAGCAGTTGCTTTGTAATATGCTTACATTTATATCAGTGAAAACACAGACTCATCGGACTGTCAGAGATTATTGATGAATGATCGCAGCTGTAGTGCTGGCTTTACATCAGAACTCCGTGTGTTTGGTCATGTTTATGAAACTGGGAGCTCTTCTGCTGAATAGCACGTGGATATTAAAGTTAGTGACAATATGCATTGATGTATTTATATCAGTGTAAATTTTACAGGCTATATTCCACTACATTGTTGAAAATTTCAACAAAATGAGCCCCACAGGGCACAGAGACATGCGTCCCTGCACGACTTTGCGCGCATATTTACGCAGGATGGCAAAACAGAAAAGACTAATGGATGGGAACAGTAAAAAAAAACAAAAAAACGCTTGGGAATATTTTTCCAAAGATTTGAAAAAACAAACAAACCCCAAACAACCTTTTTGGTTCCAGTTCAGTGAAAAACATCCCAACGATGAAAATACATCCCTATATTCTGTTTACTGTATCTTCACCCAGACGGGAGGAAGATCGGCCCTCAGGCCCCTTTAAACAATTTTATGCGGGGGTAAAGTACGCACCATGAACAAGAAACTATTATAAACACACACACACACACACACACACACACACACACACACACACACACACACACACACACACACACACACACACACACACACACACTTGAGGTATTAAAGCTTGCTGTAAAGGCCCATTTTATCATTAGTTAATAAATAAAAATAATAATAATAATAATAATAATAATAATATCATTCAGGCAGTCAGAATGCGGACTGTCTCTCCGACCTCCAACACCGCCACAGCCCCACAGGCCTACCCAACCCCGACCCACGCTTTGGTCCCGGTAATCGGTGTTAAGCTGTTTGTGTTTAGGTGTTGATGCTAAACTTGTGCTGCATTCAGGCTCTGTGAGAGGAGCTGGAATGAGCCCGCGAGTCACCAAAACTTTGCGCGGCATTTCCATTACAGGTCATGGCAGTGAGCAGGCGGCCTTCAGCCGGTTATGATTCTGTAGGATATTGCAAATGAATTATTTTTTCCAAGATGACAGCCAAAGAGGTGTGCTCATAACCTTATGAGAGCAAACAGCCAGCCCTGCTCATCACTATGTGTGAGCAGGAAACTAACCCAGTCAGTGGAAGCCTAGCCTCTCAATCCTTCGTGGAAATGGAGCTGCTGAGCTGCGTGTTTTCCATTGGGATGTTGGATGTGAATTGGTAGCGCCTGGAAGATCAAAGCTTTCGTTCTTCGTGTCTGTCCACGTTATCTGTTTGTCTTGTAGTTGTAATGAGATAATAAGGAGTTGTGTGGAACTGAAATAATGTCATCACCAATTTCTGAGTATTGTTTCTGCTAGTGTGACTCCAGAGGTCAAACGGAACCTTCAAACATTCAGAGAAGTGGAATTTTCCGCTGGAACCTGAATGCACCGTAAAGTGACTGAGTGGATTGGATTAATTTGCGCCTCCCGGGAATTCCGGAACCTCACATGACACCAACTCTCTGCCTCTATTGGTCGGAGGCACGTGTCTGAACGACCCGTAGTACGACGTCATCGCAGTGTCTCGCAGCCAATCAGAAATGAAAACCAAAAATCAGTAGTGAAAGTATTTGAGCGGCGTCTTGATGAGCGCACTTGGAGCTGCTGGAGCGTCAGTAATTGTGTGCAGGGAGCAAGAAAATCAAAAGAGTGATTTAACAAAGCAAACAAACGAAATGGAGTTTTATGAGATTCAAAGTGACGCAGGTGAGCTGCAGGTCGAGGAGTGAGGAGCACAAACTGAAGCATGTTTTTTTTTCCTTTGTCAAATTCCCCACAGGCGCGTTTGCACAGAAAACAATACAAACTACTGCGCCACGCTCCAACTCGCTCTTCTCACTGCAGCGACAAATATAGATATTAGCTGATAATAAAGTGATATTGGAGACACTACGCTGCGGAAGGGAGCAGGTGCTGAAGCTGCTCAGGCTTCATCAGAATGGAAGGAAATGCTCGCCGAGACCCAGAGCGCCCACGGGACTCCGGGGAGCAGTCCAACCGGGCCATCCTGCCCCTCTTGCAGCCACCTGGCAACCAACAGTCTCACAGGATCACTAACTTTTACATCGACAACATTTTGAGGCCGGACTTCGGCCTGAAGAGGAAGGATGGGGCTCCGGATCGGCAGGGAGACGCTCTTGGAGTGCTCATACAAAGAGAGGAGCTGACAGGGAGAAAGCCTCCCAAAAGTGCTAACCCTCGGCAGGGTGGAGCAGGAGGCAAAGAAGAGGAGAACCCAGGAGAGCATGAAGACCAGCATCCGGACATTGACGCCAGGAGGCCCGGCGATGTGGCGGCTAATGACTGCTGCCGCAGCCCTCAGGCCAGCACTGCCACAGCGGCCAAATCGATGCTGTGGCCAGCTTGGGTGTATTGTACTCGCTACTCGGACCGTCCGTCATCAGGTTAGTAAAAACATTCCTCATCCAGGTCTAATTCATGAAAAGCAAAAGAAGGAAAAGGCAGCTCCTCTTTGCAATTCAGAGTCACTTTAAAGGCTGAATTTCAGGAAGGAGCCAAAAAGCTGCTATTGCATCATTTTCTGAGCAGTGCCGAAGTAATGGCCTCTACCCCCACCTTCATATAATATACTCATCACTTGTAACAACTCATCATTAAATCAACACAACTGATGTTTGAGTAATAATTTCATACTTTAAACCTGAAATGACAGGAGCAGTCTGAGCGCAGATTTCACATGAATTTAGACGCATATTGGAAACTCGTTTCTATTCTGTACAGAATTCAATCTGAATGTAGCTTTAAAATAAAAACAAAATCCACGAAGCGGCTGGAAAGTGCTCTGAAAAAACGACGAAATTAAAATGAGTCGAAAGTAAAGTTAAATGATATTGAAGTGAAGTAAAACCAAGTTAACGCCATTGTTCCCCAGTCCTCTTTGTTAATATTCTATTAGCATATTTTTGACAATGGGGTAGTCTAAAAAGTGAAGGCTGTGTATCCAAAGTCCGTCGGTTCAATCTAAAAATGCTTAAGAACACAGTTCCAAAGTTTATTTTATTTTATTTCATCTCACTTGTAAAAAAAATAAATAAAAATAATAATAATGATGATGATAAGAAGAAGAAGAAGAAGAAACCCCACATCTGCGTAGTAAATGTTTGCAAATGGAGCATTTCCCTCACGTTATGGTGCATCGCGGTGAAGCCTGTTTCCAGCCTGTCCCTCTCTCTGGGAGTTTTTAGGGCTAAAGTGGAAGTTTGCAACGGGCTCGGCTCATTCAGCCAGCGGATGCGTGGAAACTTGGACTTTTCCTTTGTCACCATGTCAGCTGCTAAAACGATGCTACAGCACAGCAGCCGAGCACAGGAAGAGACCGTAGTCATGTGTCGAAGACGCGTTTGGAAGAGTTTTCTTTATTTATTTTTTTATTCCTAACAAAAATATTTATTTGTTTATTTATTTATTTATTTAAATCGATGAATCGAAAGAAAAAAGCGTTCATCGAGTTCATGAAAGGCTCCTGGCCGGAGAGCCCGCAGCCTCCCTCGCATGATTCCGTCCGCGCACCGGTCCGGTTACCTGAGCCCCGGCGCACGTTACAGCGTCCCGATGCGCGTGACCAGGTCAGAGTGCATGCAGGCCTTCAGCGCAGCTGCTTCATGTGCACCTGTACTGATGGGGAGTTCTGTACTGAGCAGGTACGCCTACTGTCTTTTACACTGAGTTCAATCATTTCTCATGGATGGTCCACCTGATCCCACCACGGCAGAAACACCTCAATGTCAGTGCAGAGACAAAAGAAAAGTACTTTTAAAAAAATAGAGTTCCTATGCTACAGAGAGGGAAAGAGGCGCCCAACGCCCCCATCCCTCCTCATCTCCAAACCCCACCCCCATCTGCACCCTCTCCTCCTCAGCATTAAGCTGTGCTTAATGCCCAGTGTGGTCCATTGCATCCAGTTGGATGGAATTAAAGGTTGTGACCAATATGTCCTTTAAAATAAGATTAGACTTGCTAAAAACTAATCAACTAGATTAGCCCCATGTCGCTGACTTTCTTCTTCAGTCCGAATCTAAACAGCTTTGTCAGGAGGTCACGTGAGTCCTGGCCGCGAGGATAAATTTGCCTAATTTGGCGCAAATGTGAACAGAGACGTTTTCCACTCATAACTGAGCCCGTTTCATTTTTGTAAATACAGCTGAGGTGTAAAAATGTGACGTGTGAAAAGTCCACGGTACTGACTCTAACCACTGGCTGTCATTTGTTTCACTCCCGCTGCACTTCAGGGCCCAGATCTCGCAAACCAAAGAAAGCGCCGACCCCGAGTAAAGAAGACAAACGGCCCCGGACGGCCTTCACCGCGGAGCAGCTCCAGCGGTTAAAAACAGAGTTCCAGAACAACCGCTACCTGACCGAACAACGGAGGCAGAGCCTGGCCCGGGACCTCGGTCTCAACGAGTCTCAGATCAAAATCTGGTTCCAGAACAAGCGTGCCAAAATCAAGAAGGCATCCGGGAATAAAAACTCTCTGGCGCTGCATCTCATGGCGCAGGGACTGTACAACCACTCGACAGCCAAGGACGCCAAGTCGGACAGCGACTAGAGGATGACAGTTGACTCTGAACATGCAATAAAATCACCAGCGTTCATATTTCAATTACACACACACACACACACACACACACACACACACACACACACACACACACACACACACACACACACACACACACACCTCTCTGTTTGTGACAGAGATATTATGGCTGTATACTGTGTACTCAGGGCTGTAGATATGACGAGGCCCAGCTCAAGTCAAGATGGAGCCGCATTCATGTCACAGCCGGAATCTCCACCGTTTTCACTCGCTGCAGCCTGAAACCGCGACCAATGTGGCATTCAGGGTCCAACGGAAATATCTGCGGACATGGCGAACAATTAATACTAATGCTGCTCTGTTAAAATTGACCGAGAAGACATATAATAAATTCCAGTCTCATCGAAGTATGGGATAACATATCTTTAGGTAGAATAAAAATAAATAAACGACTTTAAGAACTACTTTTAAAACAGTTAAGTGTACTCCGCAGCTTGAATTAGTTTAAAGTCGCTGGTTCCTGGCAGACCTCTGTTACTGTGACCTGACTGCAGGCCGGGGATTCCACTCGATGGAAACCCGGAACAAACAGGGTCAAAGGTGTTCGGACAACAGCTGAGGAGCCATGTTCCTGGTTTAGTAGGTGTCAGCGTCATGTGACACATCCTACCTGCGTGCCTGCTACATCGTGCCCACAAGAGATTTCGAATCGTGGAATTAAAAATAAATAAAAACTAACAAACCATGTGTGACAGTGATCGCGCTGCAGTGTGGCCTAACTGCCCGCACAGAAAAAGCAGAGTGGATAGAACTTAGATATTGTGGGCCTGCAGAAGAGGAAAATGGCTCCAGCTGCAGCCGAAACCACGACGGGCTCGAGAGCAGGTGATCACGCGATCAAGCATCACGCGCACTGCAGCCCTGTCTGAAAACTCTGAGCTAATATCCAAAGATTTCTTTCTGTTGCATTCCGGGAACTGTGGCGTGGACAAACGGTCCGCTGTGTTCTCCCTGTCTTACTGTACTTTCTGACCACGGGGCTCGTTTCTGCAGCGCCTCTTGCTTCCTCTTTGTTCTTGCTGTGTCATGCCGCTGGACTGTATTGAATGTTGACCTGCGGGTCTGCTTGTTGTGGTGGAAGCAGCCCTGCGCCCGGATGCGGAATGTGAGACCTCACGGTATGTCTGGAGTTAAAGGTGTGCTTTAAATCTGGTGACCAGTGTTTAGCAGCAAAATTGCTCTCAGATATCTGCCAGTAGATGCGCACACAACTTAACACAACCGGCTTTGAATTTTCTGATTTTAGCTATTATTATTATTATTATTATTATTATTATTATTATTATTATTATTATTATTATTTTAACTTTCTCCCGAAAGCCAACGACATTTCGAAAAATAAACTATCGCCTTAAAAAGCCAGTAGACCATAGCTAAAATTTCCATTCATATCAAACCGCATCATCCTGAGGCCTCCAGGCAACCCGAGAATGTTCAAGAACACACTTCCTGTTGTTGTTAACGAAGATACTTTGTACTCTTATTTTAAATGCAATAAACATCCACCCGCGCGCAGGTGTTTACATAACTTATTTTTCCTGCAATCATTTTTCTGTTTGAACACGTTTGCCGGCTCCGAACCAAATCGTATTGTTACGATGCAGTGAATGTTTGGACTTCTTTATTTTATGTTAAAGCCTCAGTCATGTTTTCTGGGAGTTAGGCACCTGGAAACGTTTCTGCCTTAAAGTATTACGGTGTTAAGAGAGCGGCTGTTTTCTATATGGCAAATGGGACTTTTTGAAATCGATATTTTTAAAGATGAAATATTAGTGTTTTCCCCTCTCATCCGAGGTTCTCTTTTATATACAACGTGTAAATAATTTATATTATAATGGTGTCATTGTAAATAAACGACAACAATGCAGACTTGACTTTTAAGATATTTTTATTTCACAACACGAAATTCATCAAAAAGACAAAAGAAGAAAAAAAAAGGAAAAAAGTAACTTTAAAAAAATGAAATGTGTTGATACTGATTAGGATGACATAATGAGAGCGCAACAGGGAGGACACCTGCGGTCTGCACACAAAGTTACGCGCTCAACACGTCTGCACCTCTACTCAAAACCCAGGTGTTCATTTCGTAAAATGTTTGCATTTTACCGTAATCTGCTCCACTTACTGCACAGGTCCTGTTCAGGCTGTGAAGTTCAGCCACAGCATGTCAGATACAATCATCGCCAAAAGCTCTTTATCACAATTTCGATTTTAGCTGATAGTTGTGGTCCACTTTTATTACAAAGAGCATTAAAAAAGAAAGCTAATCTGAAGAAGTTACTTTTCTGTTCCTTTAAAATGTATCTCCAGGTGTTTTCCATACATTTCCAAAGGGCATCTTTAAAAAAAAACCTTCTAAACCTCCTAAAAGTGTATTGTTTTAATTTTGAGTTTGTTGACCCGATGATTGCAAGCTTTTCACACAGCAGCCCTCAGTAGAATGACATTTAAGGCCATGGGCTAGGGTCCGGATAAAAATTAAGAGGGCAGAGGGGTATCTTCATCATGGAGAGATTTAATATTTGTAAATTTATTTGAGACTTTTATTTTAAAATAAAAAACAGTTCCATATTTGACATAACCCATATGGAGCATGTCAATGTAGTTGGAAAGAAACTATCCATGATTATTAACCTAGGCATTTTTGGGATACAAAATTGGCCCATGTGACAGAACAGTTTCAAAAACTCTCATCTCCAATCACATCATTGGTGCAGTAGCCCTTATGGCTTTAAACTGATGGAAATCATGAACACACCCAAGAAACTATTCATCGCACACATATAATTTTATTTACAGACACACACACACACATAAAGAAATCATTTACACTCAGTTTCCGTATTTCAGTTGTGACCACGTGTGACAGAATGCAACACAGTGTGTTCACCATGAGCACAATTTCAAATTCCCTCAGCTGCAGTTTGGGCAGGAACCGAGACATGCAGTCACTTCCAAAAGCCTCACCCTATATGGTGCCTGACAACACTAACAGCGACATATCTGCCAGGCTTGCACCCAAAACTCCTTAATGTGGGAAAATCTGAACCAGATTAGTTGACCGTCTTTATTCTTTGATCTTCAGGACCGCTGCATAGCTGCATCTACATGGTTTCCCTCACATTTTCATTATAATGTTTAATTCAGGATCATTTGTAATTTGCACACCAACACTACTTGAAATTCAATTTGAAACAAGAGCAGAAGAGACTGACAAGAGACAGACGAATGATATGAGAATAAAAAGGTCATTATTTCAGCTAAAACTAGAAACCATCTATAGAGTGCAATATCCAGCAAATCATTCAGTTATAGATTGTCCTTTTGCAAGACACACGTTGAAAAATAAGCCAGTCTCAAATAAGGAGCGTAATTCTGAATAATAACTGTTGTTAATTTGACTTTTCATTCACAAGAAAATGCTTCCAGAGATTATTCATTTCAATCCATATCTAAGTATTATGTATCAGTACAAACCAAGCGTTCCTGTGTTGTACAAATTAGGGTAAACCAGTAGAAAAGCAACAGCCAAAATTATCTGCAAATTCAGAGCCCAAAGAGTACCCTGAGCATCACTGAAATCTTACAAACACGTTTATGTCTGAGGGCAGTTTACCTGAACATCGGTGCATGGTAAGAAAAATCAAACAGAAGCAGAATGAAATGTGGAGAGCAGAGGGAGATCCATTAACCAAAAGCCAGAGATTTGTCTGAGGCGCGTTCACTGGCAGCAGCAGCAACAGCGACCTGGGGTTTCTGAATGGCTGCAGAAGCCTTCATCTGCATTTCCTTTCTTAGCTGGCTTGTATGTGGAAGTAACGCCCAACGGTCTCTGACTTGATGAGCAGAGCTAGTCTTGACTTGGGGGTGGGGGTGGGGGGGGATGGGGTGGGGGGGGGCTTGTTGTGAGTTGGGTTTTGATGCAAAGTCTGGGGATGTCAGTCAAAAGGAGCTGGGGGTGCAGGAGGTTGAGGGTTGGGAGCATATTGGCCATAGAACCAAAATGCTTTTGGTGTCCATGCAAAAAGCAGCAGGTGGCAAAGGTGTAGCCAGGACATCTTTGCAGGGACACTAACATGTTTTTATCATATCTTTGATCATGTATTCTTATTTATATGTGATTAAACACAATGAGTTTAACTTTCCATTTTAAATTGTAGCTTGGTTATGTTAAGGCACCGAAAGCACTTGGCTGGGTTTAGGGACAGATGACTTTTTTCACACCTCGGCAGGTAACACTGGACCCTCTATTGGACCATGCTGGGAGATTTTAGAGCTTAAGGGTTTTTTATCCTGAGCTTAGATTGTGTTTCTATATTAACAGGGTGATGAGATGCATGAATACAAAAACATTTGAATACAAAAACTCATAAAAACATCAATTCTACAAACTATAAATTGCAGCTATTCTCATGCTGTCATCCTGTGGGTGTTAGACTGTGTCAGAGGTGGCAACAATCCTTCACTCCAGCTTGTTAATCAACCAACAACCCAGACAGAGTTTTAATTCGTCACCCTCCAACCACTCGCAGCAGATGGCTGCCACTTCCTGAGGTTTCTTCCTGTTAAAAGGGAGTTTTTCTTTCTCACTGTGGCCTAGAGCTTGCTCAAAGGGGGTTGTTTGATTGTTGGGATTTTCTCTGTATTATTGCAGAGGGTATCCTACAATATAAAGCTCCTTGAGGTGACTAATGTTGTAACACTGTATAAATACAACTAAAACAAAGCCGCATCATATAACGTGCGGAGGGCGGTGAAAGAGGCGAAGCAGCGCTACGGGAGGAAACTAGAGTCACAACTCCAACAGAGTGACTCTAGGAGCCTGTGGCGGGGACTAAGGACAATAACGGACTATAAAGCACTAACAACCGGTATGACGAACGCGGCCGTGACTCTGGCAGACGAGCTGAACACTTTCTATGCTCGCTTCGAGGCTGCAGCTAAGGTCTCCAACAATGCTAGTGTTAGCGGCGCTAACGGCTGCAGACAGGAAGAT